AGACACTTTTACACACAGACGCTTTTACACACAGACACTTCTACCCACAGAAGCTTTTACACACAGACGCTTTTACACACAGACTCCTTTACACAAAGACGCTTTTACACACAGGCACTTTTACACACAGACTCCTTTACACACAGAAGCTTTTTCACACAGACACTTTTACACACAGACCATTTTACACACAGACACTTTTACACAGAAGTTTTTACACACAGGCGCTTTTACACACAGAAGCTTTTACACACAGACTCCTTTACACACAGACGCCTTTACACACAGACACTTTTACATTTTTACACGCAGACGCCTTTACACACAGACGCTTTTACACACAGACTCCTTTCCACACAGACTCCTTTACGCACAGACGCTTTTACACACAAACACTTTAACACACAGACCATTTTACACACAGACACTTTTACACACAGAAGCTTTTAAACACAGAAGCTTTTACACACAGAAGCTTTTACACACAGACTCCTTTACACACAGACACTTTTACACACAGACTCCTTTACACACAGACGCTTTTACACACAGACACTTTTACACACAGACCATTTTACACACAGACACTTTTACACAGAAGCTTTTGAACACAGAAGCTTTTACACACAGAAGCTTTTACACACAGAGGCTTTTACACACACAGACTCCTTTACACACAGGCGCTTTTACACACAGAAGCTTTTACACACAGAGGCTTTTACACACAGACTCCTTTACACACAGACGCTTTTACACACAGACGCTTTTACATACAGACCCTTTTACACACAGACCCTTTTACACACAGACGCTTTTACACTTACACACAGAAGCTTTTACACACAGAAGCTTTTACACACAGAGTCTTTTACACACAGAGGCTTTTACACACAGACTCCTTTACACACAGGCCCTTACACACAGACCCTTTTACACACAGAAGTTTTTACACACAGAGGCTTTTACACACAGAAGCTTTTAGAACACAGAAACTTTTACACACAGAAGCTTTTACACACAGAGGCTTTTACAGACAGACCCCTTTACACACAGACGCTTTTACACACAGAAGCTTTTACACACAGAGGCTTTTACACACAGACTCCTTTACACACAGACGCTTTTACACACAGACGCTTTTACATACAGACCCTTTTACACACAGACCCTTTTACACACAGACGCTTTTACACTTACACACAGAAGCTTTTACACACAGAAGCTTTTACACACAGAGTCTTTTACACACAGAGGCTTTTACACACAGACTCCTTTACACACAGGCCCTTACACACAGACCCTTTTACACACAGAAGTTTTTACACACAGAGGCTTTTACACACAGACTCCTTGACACACAGGCACTTTTACACACAGACTCCTTTACACACAGAAGCTTTTACACACAGAAGCTTTTACACACAGAAGCTTTTA